TCGACGAGGATTTGAATTGTTAGATCTGGATGGTGGAATAGGTTGGGAACTTTTAACATCAATGGTTCGGTATAAAGCACGCCAAAGAATTAGTGCAAAAGGAGCTCTAGCTCATCCGTACTTCGACAGAGAAGGCCTATTAGCTTTGTCCTTCATGCAGAATCTACGGCTCCAATTCTTCCGAGCTACACAACAGGACTATGGTGAAGCTGCTACATGGATTGTTCAGCTCATGGCAAAATCAGGAACAGAGCGTGATGGAGGCTTCACTGAAGCACAGCTGCAGGACCTCAGGGTCTGTATCTAAATGCACTTCTACACGATATAATTTTTACAGGTTTATGGATGAAGTTTTACAACTTCTTGTTACCTCCTGTACAGGAAATTGAGCCTAAGAAAAAGTCAAGTGCGAAGAGGAATGCCCTTGCATCGGTTCTTCGGCTCCAAAGGAAGATTATTAGGACAATAAATGAGAGTGTTGATGAACTTAACCAGCGCAGGAAGAGTTTGTGGTGGAGAAAATGGATCCCAAGAGAAGAATGATCACTGTATATATACTACCCCTTCTCACTGTTTCTGTAAATTTTTTGCAGTCATCATCTCTACAAGAAATGTAAGGAGTGACCTAATGTTTAATGTAGTGAAAAAGATAAGTGCAAATGTGTGCTTATGTATTACCCCAAAATGAAAAGCAAATGTACACTTGATTACTCTTCATATTACAGAAAAATAAAGTTGAATTTGCTATAGCCTAGCTCTTGTTGCATTTCCCCCACTCCAGGAGCACATAGACACCCCAAAAACATAGGGAATAAAACTAATCATTCGGAGGGTTCCTTCAATATATCCTTTGTAGATAATGTAATCACCCTATCCCTGAGTTAAAAACTACAAAAAATTTACACATATTTTCCTTAAGTAGGTTTTAATGGTGCGTTTCATAACGTGTCTGTGTTATCAAAGCCAACAGCATTTTGTTTTGGATGTTTGGAGCTTAACTATACCGTACACTTTTGCCTCGACTGGGGTTGAGAAGCTTAGCTTACGGGCTCCAAGCACTTCGACACCCTCCCCTCCCCTTTCAAGTATTTTAAGGGTGAAACTGAATTCTGCCCAATTTTCTTGTAACAATATGCTCTCAACCTTTTTAACCACAGCAAAAACTAATATATAGTTGTGCATCAGTTACAGAATTTTCATATTGAGACTTGGCTAAAAAAAAAAAAAAAATCGATCATGTTAAAATGAATTGTCGTTGTACGTTCTTTCTTTTTTACATTTTTCTTTTGTTTGAAGTCAGGTTTATCTTTTTTGAAAGATTTTTGTCAAACATTCTTGAACGCTGGATTAGGTTTAAGATATTTTCATAAACTTCTAGTGTCATAACCAATGTTTTAAAAATCAACCCAAAAAAGGAGAGATTTAAGAGTCGAACGGGGGTTGAGCCGCTGATTTTTGAAAATTTAAAAATAAATAAATTTATCAAAGAATAAAACAACAACAAATGAGAATAAGTGAAACTTAAATGGGCAAAAAGGCCCAAAAATTGCTATAACTTGTTAGTGGAAATTACACCAAACTCTATCTTTCAAAATCCAACTTCAAAAATCAGATGCAAGGTTCGTTTATTCAAAAATCAGATTTTTTATATTTAATTATATAAATTTCATCAAATCCCTAATTAGTAATTCCCCCAAAATTGTCTCCTCCTCCTCTCTCTCTCTCTCTCTCTCTCCTCAGCCACTCTTCCTCTCCATTTCACACACACTCTCTCTCTCTCTCTCTTCGTCACTCGACGGAGGAGTCCCTCTCGTCGCCTGCTACAGCCGGTGTAGGAGACTTGTGAGGAGCAGAAGAATTGGTTAATGTCGGAGATGGACTTGGAGAGCAATCTGACGGCTGAGGCACCGAAAGGGAGGAAAGTGTGGGGGAAGGAGCAGAAGATGGAGATTGCGATGGTGTTGCAGGAGACAGGATAGGTGGCAGCGAGAGTGCGTCGGCCGAAGGAGAAAATCTAGTGATTGCTCAAACATCAGTCACCAGTGTGAGTCGCAAATCCACTATTCTTCCATTTTTCTGTGTGTGGTGCGGTGGGT